AATGCCTTCTAGTCATTCACAATCACTTGGAGCCTATGGAACATCTCCTAATGCTCTCATCATCCTTCATCTTGAAGCTTGTCAACTTATCCTAGAGGATGTATAGCTTGGCACTCTTCACCGCCGGTGTGCCCTCATATGTTTCTTCCAATCTCTTCCACACCATACTAGCTTCCTCACAATTCTTGATTTGCTCAAACACTTTGGAATCAATGGCATTATAGATGGTGTTGAGAGCCATTGTATTGCATTGCTTGTTGGCCTTGTCTTGGTTGGTGAGATTGGTGGGATCAAGAATCACATAATTACTATCGGTTACATCCCACACTTGATCATTGATTGAACCAAGATACATCTTCATCTTTCTCTTCCAATAGTCATATCATGTGCCATCACAGAATGGTGGTTTTCCCCCCACAGGTTGAACACAACTTGAGTCATAATTTGACACTGAGGTTGTTAAGCCTTCAATCAAATGGTGACCATGGCTCCGATATCACTTGAAAGGTCCTAATATGGCTAGAGGGGTGAATAGACTATTTAAAACTCTACAAATTCACTAGAGCAATTTGTTAGTAAACTAAATGGTGAAATGCAAACTTGTTCTAGCTCTACACACGGGTTGCAAGCCACCTACCCAACAATTCTAGTTGCTATGATCTCTAGGCACACAAGAGGCTAAGTCACTACTCACTAAGAGCTCTCAACAAGGCTACACTAAAAGAGCTCCACTAGATGAAACTAAGCTACAAAGCAAGCTCTCAAAACTAGTTACATTAAAGAGCTTGTTACAACTAGTTTGCAAGAAAGTAATGGTGTGAGTAAGATGATTACACCGCTTGAGTAGAGAACCAATCACAATAAGATGACAACCAATCACTTTGGGAGAAATCCAATCACACAAGAGACAAGATTTTTCTCCCGAGGTTCATGTGCTTGCTGGCACACTAGTCCCCATTGTGTTGACCAACACTTGGTGGTTCAAATGACTAAGAGGTGTTGCATGACCCTCGTCCACACAATTGGACACCGCAAGAACCTACCCACAAGTGAGGTAACTCAATGACACGAGTAATTTACTAGAGCTACCTTGCGGCTCTTCACCGGGAAGGTGCAAGACCCTCACAATAACCAGAGGCTGGCCATGAACAATGCCAACACGTGCCAAAGCTCCTCCGCTGCTCCAAGCCATCTAGGTGGTGGCAACCACCAA